GCTTAACCAACTGAGCCACCCAGGCGCCCCACTTCTACTTTCTTTTAAGAGAAGGAATGATTAGGCCTAAGAAACATACTATGAGCCAAGATAAAAGGTGACTTCGATTTTTGAAAACTTACCCGATGTCAGCACCTGCAATAAAGCAGCCTGGCTTCGATGAGATAAGGACAGCACTTCTGATTTGATCACTAGTCCAGATTTCATTCATTACTTCCACGAACTCTGACTGCAGTTCTTTATTTAGTGTGTTTACCTGCCAAAGGGAAATATGTATAAATTTAAGGCTTTAAATCTGTAGTACGAGATGTGCAAATCATCATGAAATGCTATTTTGATTGCAGGAAATTTGTTTATCCAACAGAAATATACAGTTAGAAGAAAGAAGGGGGATGGGGGGACAAACCCTAAACCCAGTAGCTCTTCTCTTCAGCTTTAGCCAGCTATAAGCACCCTCCCTTTAAAAATAGGTCTAGGTCTACTCATTTTTTGGAGAAATGTCTGTTCATGTCTTCTGCCCATTTCTTGACATTAATGGACATTAAGGAGGGCATGTGATATAATGAGCACTGGGTATTATATAAGACTTATGAATCACTGACCTCTACCTCTGAAACTAATAATTAACTATAAGTTAATTAACTGAATATATAAAAAAAAAAGAACCACTGACACACACAAAAAAGATACTAATCTCTTCATGAGGGCTCCACCCTCATGACCACATCTAAACCTAATTAACTCCCTAAGTCCCACCTCCAAACACCATCACATTGGGGCTTAGAGCTTCAACATATGAATTTTAAGGGGACAACTTCCACCTATAACATTATTTATATAGGGGAAATTTTGTTTTTCAAAGAAACTGCATTATCTATAGCACACCCTTCTGTGTTATCTTTTTTGTATCTTTGGAATTATGTTAAATCTCTGTGAAGTGTAGATAACTGAAAGCAATTTTAAGAAATATTCTTGTCTGGGACGCCTGGGTGGCTCAGTCTGTTAAGTGTCTGCTTTCAGCTCAGGTCATGATCCCGGGGTCCTGGGATCGAGTCCCCTATCGGGCTCCCTGCTCAGCGGAGAGCCTGCTTCTCCCTCTGCCTACTTGTGTGTGCTCGCTCTCTAATAAATAAAATCTTAAAAAATATATATATTAAAAGTGTTTGCCTTTGGGTTTGTAGTACGAATGACTTGTTATTTTCTTCTGTATAGCTTTCAAACTTCCCACTATAGGCATGTGTTGATTCTGTGTTCAGAAAAAATGCTCAACTTAGAAAATTCTGGAAAAATATCTTAAGTTTGAATCATTGGTCAGTGGGTACCAAAATTCATCCCAGTGAGGGGGACTGGTTCTTATTTTCCTTAATTTGTGATAGTTGTTAATTGCTTCCACCTATGTCCCTCTATTCTATCTAGGCCTCTAGTAACAAGATTTCTGAAATATGAAAACTTGACACCAATTTTATTTCTATTTGTTTTTTTAAGTAGGCTCCACACCCAGTGTGGAGTCCAATGTGGGGCTTGAACTCACAACCGTGAGATCCAGACCTGAGCTGAGATCAAGTCAGACACTTAACCGACTAAGCCACCCAGGTGCCCCAAAACCAATTTTATATGGGGGAAAAGCATGAGCTCCTGCAAAAAAGGTCTTCTTGGCAAAGACTGGATTAATGCCATATGATTTGTTGAAGCTGCCAAAAACAATGAGGCTCCACTTGGAACAGAACTTGACTTCCAATATGTGAACTACTGAATCATTCATTCAAGTTCCTCAGGAAGCTTAAGAACCACATTTAACCCAGCCCATTTTCTATGAATAATGACTACGTCAGGCAGGTAATGAAGAAAGCATGTGTAACAACCTGGTAGTTAAGATGAATAGGTGAGTTTTGACTCTTATAAAACCAAGTTTGCACTTTGGTTCTTATCTAGTAAGTCACCTCAGCATGCTACACAATAATAAAAGGCTAATTTCATTAATCCTTGATGTTAATCTGACACCTAAGGTCAGCTAGAAGGAATTCTTAAACAAGGACCTCTGCTCCAGAAAGTTGTATTCCTTGAGCAATTTGTTAAACTATCAAAACTACAAATTCATATAAGATTACTACCAGATTGGTGGATTTCTTTCCCTTCCATTCAGCACTGGATTCATGAATGTATCAGCAGAAACAGACTGCAAGTTAAATTAGGTACCTTTGAATTGGGTGAGTTAATTCGAACAACAGCCACATCCCCGTTGACTCCATAGTTAATATGGGTTCTGGCTAAAAAGAGAAAGATAATTTATTTATAAACATGTTTATTGCTAAACAAATCTAAAAAGCAGTGTAAGCATTTACACTGAAGAAATTAAACTTACTTTGCAAAGCAGAGGACGCTGAAAAGTTGCGGCAAATATAACCTACAAGAAAAAGGTATTCAAAATTAATTACTTTGTAAAACTTAACTGCTGTAGTACTTGCTAAATATAACAAAGCTGGAATTTATAACAACAACAGCAAAAAACCCAAATGAGAATAATGTATTCTAGGCCATTATTGTGACTACTACCATATCTTTTTCATTTTAATGATCAGCTTATAAGATTATATTTAAACAGTAGATGTGATAGGTGGAAGAACTGCCCCCTCAAAGATGTCCAGGTCTCCAGAAACTGTGAATAGGTAAGGTTATATGGCTAAGGAAATTAAGGTTGCTAATTAGCTGACCTAAACAGAAAGAGAGAGAAAGAGAGTGTAGCCTGGATTATCCAGGTGGGCCCAAAGAGAGAGTCAAGGAGGACCAGAGGGATGGCGGCATAAGGACTCAGCCCCACTTTGTTGGCTTTCAAGAAGTCAAGAAAAGCAGGCAGCCTCAGCCTTCAAAGCTAGAAAAGGCAAGGAAATGAATTCTCCCTTAGAGCACCCAGAATGAACACAACCCTGCCACCACTTTTGATTTTAGCTCAGTGAGACTCATTTCGACATCCGTAACTGTAAGATAATAAATTTGTATTGTTTCAGACACTAAATTTGTGGAAATTTGTTACAGCAGCAATAGGAAATGAACACACTAGGAAATGAGTAATCTACAAAGCGATCCATAATGTCAGTCCCAAATGTATGACAAATATATCTCAACCATGTTCTCTAGTCACATCCTCTTGCATTTTTATGGAGAGATGGACTTTTCCAGTGTTATCAAAAGTAAAATAATTTAGAATGGAATATAACTTAGCCATAAAGAATGAATTCTTGCCATTTGCAACCTCATGGATGGAGCTAGAGAGTATGATGCTAAGCGAAGTAAGTCAGAGAAAGACAAATACCACATGATTTCACTCATATGTGGAATTTAAGAAGTAAAACAAAGAGAAAAAAAGAGAAGCAAACCAAGAAACAGACTCTTAACTATAGAGAACAAACTGATGGTTACCAGAAGGGAGGTGTGTGCGGGGGGAATGGGTTAAACAGGTGATGGGGATTAAGGAGTGCACTTGTGATGAGCACCAGGTGTTGTATGGAAGTGCTGAATCACTATATTGTATACCTGAAACTAATATTACACTGTGTTAGTTCAGATTCAAATAAAGACTTAAAAAAAGGGTGAAATCAACAGGCACTAGTGGCCATTTATTGAATAGTCCAGTCACAAACTGCTATTTTAAGAATTTCTAACTGAACAGGTCTCTATTGCACTCCAAGAATACTCCTACTCTGGGGATGACAAAGACCAGCTACACTTCTCCCTCCTTCCTAATCACTTCACTACTTGAGGCTCTCCTGCATAATAATGATGAGATGGTATTTTGAGCACAAATCATCACAAGAGAAGTCCCAACAGAGAGTCTTTCAATTTGGACTATGGATAGAAGGTAGGGAACATTGGGAAATTCCTAGGCAAAAATTCAAAGTTTGTTATGGGAATTACTTGACGTCCTTTCTACCATTAAAGGGTCACCCTTGCCTTGCTCTAATCCAAACATCTGGCTCTAGGTAGCAACCAAGTTATTCTGGAGGCCAGCACAGGGTCGACATCCCTTAGTTGCAACTTCCAATCTTCTTTAAAAACACCCTGCTCTTTTTCTTTTTTTTTTAAGATTTTATTTATTTATTTGTCAGAGAGAGAGAGAGAGAGCACAAGCAGGGTGAGCGGCAGGCAAAGGGTGAAGCAGGCTCCCCACTGAGCAGGGAGCCCAACACAGGACTAGATCCCAGGACCCTGGGATCATGACCTGAGCCAAAGGCAGATGCTTAACCGACAAAGCCACCCAGGCGTCCCAACACCCTGCTCTTTCTTCCTTTGTCTTTCTTTCTTTTTTTTTTTCAATTTTATTTATTTATTTGAGAGAGAGAATAAGAGAGAGAGAGCATGAGAGGGGGGAGGGTCAGAGGGAGAGGCAGACTCCCCGCTGAGCAGGGAGCCCGATGTGGGACTCGATCCAGGGACTCCAGGATCACGACCTGAGCCGAAGGCAGTTGCCCAACCAACTGAGCCACCCAGGCACCTTCCTTTGTCTTTCATATTCATGGCTCACTTCAAACCATATCTCCTATGTATTTCTTTCTTTTTATAATTTTTTTTAAAGTAGGCTCTATGCCCAACATGGGGCTTGAACTCATGACCCAGAGATCAAGAGTTGCATGTTCTACCTACTGAGCAGGCCAGGTGCCCCTCCTACACACCTCTTTAATTCCTTACTCCTCCCTACCCACATCTTCCAAACCTTGTCCAATATCTTAGAAAAAAGTTTTCTTTTTCTTTAGCAGTAAAATAAAAACAAATCATCCCTTAATAATTAGTGAACGTAATAGTGGTACACATGAACCCAGGAATTAGTGCTTTAATAATATCCAGTGGTTCCTTCATTATCTCCTCTACTTGTACTAGCTTTCCCTCAGTATTTGTTTTATTCCTTTTTAAATAAATTATGTGCATGTACCTCTATCAATTCATATACTAAATATTAGCAAATTTAATTTCTTTCCTTTTATTATTTTATTTTATTTTCCATCATGGTAAGTGTACTCTTTAATCCCCATCACCTATTTTACCCATCCCTCCCTCCCACTTCCCCTTTGGTAACCATCAGTTTGTTCTCTATGGTTAAGAGTCTGCTTCTTGGTTTCTCTTTTTTCCCTTTGCTCATTTGTTGTTTCTTAAACCGCACATATGAATGAGTTCATATGGTCTTTGTCTTTCTCTAACTGACTTATTTTGCTTAGCATTATATGCTCTAGCTTTATTCATGGTGTTGTAAGTGGCAATATTTCATTCTTTATGGTTGAATAATATTCCACCATTATTTCATTCTTAATTATTAGTATTAAAACTTTTTTATATCTAATTTTCATTGAAATATACTGCATTTGGACTACATTAGAGCTGCATATGGTCTTGGAATCCACAACATAATTTAAAAGAGTGGTGCGCCTGCCTAATTTGGAAGCGCTATTAAAAAAAAAAAAAAGGGTTAAAATCCCTAGCAACCTCTCAGCAGCTAAACCTCTCCACCAGCCTGTGACCACCTGTCTCTCTTTCTGCCTAGTCTCTCACTCACCAAAGCCCCTATCTTAATCTGGTTCAGAACTGAGGGATGTCAAACAAGAGTCTTAGACTGCCTTAGCATGCAGTGATAATCAAAGGTAATGGACAATAAAATTAAACCACATTGGCCATTTTATGTCATGGTAGTATTCTAAATGCAATTTTAAACATCAACTCTATCAAAAATACTCCCTACTTGATTTAGAAACAGACCTTAGAACCATACCCATTTCTAAGTTGATGATGGTCTATATCTGACCAGGAGGCACGGACCCTTCTGGATAGGGAACTATTACACGTGGCCAAAGCAGGGCCCAAAAGACTATCCAACATATCCAGCCGGACTGGGTTTCCCATAGCAGTATTGAGAAGTGATTCCAGAACTAGGTTAGGCATTGAAATCAGTGGGGGAGGCTCAAATACACTCACAAATGTCTGGGCAACATACAACCTAGAACCACAGAATCAGAATTCAAGGGGGCTGGGCCTTGGAGTCCTTTTTTTTTTTTTTTTTGGGTGAGAAAAGGTGGTTTTATTTAAAGCACAGGGACAGGACCCGTGGGCAGAAAGAGCTACACTGGGGTCATGAGGAGCGGCCCATTATATACTTTCAGGTTTGGAGGGGTTAAGGATAGTGCAAGCCTCCCAGGTATTTTGGAAACAAGTTGCCAGGATCCTGAGGGGGCTAGCTATTGATAGGAAGGGTCATTTTTACTATTTAGTAGAAACTCAGTCATGAGACCCTTCAGATGTTTATCGGTGGGTCATACGCTTGGGGGAGGATCGCTAACATGTATCTTGGGGAGTAGAGCTAAAGGAAGTTTCCAAAGGAACTTTCATATGTTAAAGTAGACTTACAGGATCCTGGGGAGGGGAGGTCAGGTAGGATTGTCTTTTGCCCTTAGCAAAGTATTAACACTGAGGCAGTTGAGTCCCTAGAGGAATGTCACTCTGCCTGTTTCAAGGACTTGTCAATGGGCTGTAGGTAGTAAGGAAATTTAATAATTTATCTTCTGCCTTTGTTTCCCACATCATTCCCCCCTGAACAATTTTGACCCTTAAATCTTTAAGGTTGTTGAGGGTGGAAGGTCTCATCTTCTTGTGACTTCTTCCTGCTGAATAGGGGCATAGAGATGTCCCTACCTATGGGTCAATATTGGTCAGTTGGGGCTTATACAGATATAGGAGTTACAAAAGGCAGAGGCAGCTGAACCCAAGGGAGACTGCACGTGTGGATCTTCCCGAGTGGAAGAGTCCATATTTTTTAAAAAGGAAACTGAAGCAGACAGCAAACAAGTGGGCATGTGGCAGCCACTGATTTGGAGAACCCACCAATGGTGCAGTGGATTCGGACAGGGACCATCAGCAGTAGCCAAGGCTCTTGCTTCCTCCTTCTTTCCCTTTTTCTTTATTTGAGAGAGAGAAAGTGCGCATGGGGCCGGGGGAGGGGGGCAGAGGGAGAGAAATAATGTCAAGTAGATTCCCCACTGAGCATGGAGCCTGATGCAGGGCTGGATCTCATGACCCTGAGATCATGGACCTGAGCCGAAATTGTGCTGGACGCTTAACCAACTGAGCCACCCAGGCGCCCCTGTTATTTTTAAGTTTTATTTATTTAAGTAATCTCTACACCCAACGTGGGGCTGGAACTTACAACCCTGAGATCAAGAGTCTCATTCTCTTCGACTGAGCCAGCCAGGCGCCCCTATCCTGCAGTTCCTTAAGGGAGGGGAAGAGAAGTCACAGAAAATAGCAGCTTGACACTGGTTTGAAAGGCAAAAAACATATTAAAAGAAAACTGTAGATGACACAAGCACTAGCGTGAGGTGATCTCTGGTTCTCTGTCTGCATTTTTTTCTTTAAGCAATCCAAATCAGCCCTCTTGAGTGCAAAGACAAAGGACCTGAGAGTTGAAAGACTTAGGTTCAACCACCACGTTTATCATTTACTAGCTGTATAACCATGAACAAGTCTCTTAGTGCATGTCTTACAAAGACAGAAATAAAACTGATGTAATGATTATAAAAGTATCCAAAAGTCATAATGCTACACACAAGTAAATTAAGATAGAAGTCAACCATCTCCTCAATCCCCATGCCTATACCTCTCTAATGATATACTTCCCTTCTCTGCTTTACCACCATTTAAAATTTGAATCATCTGTATTTATCACTCTTCTTTATCGTATCACAGCTCCAACCTTTTCTACAAGGCTTTATCATGAGATTCCATCTACAATGATCTTTCCCTTCACTTCAAAATCCCTTTTGATTTTTATTATTTACTATTCTGTTCTCTAATCACTGCATCTATAGCAGGTGTTTCCCCCAACTAAAGCATAAGCTCTTCCAATATCATCTCACAGTCCTTCATTCAACAACAACAAATCGCCTACCATGTGCCATGCACTGTTCTAGGCACTTGGAGTGAACAAAAAGACAAAAATCCCTGTCTCTGTGTAGCTTATTTTACAGCAGCAGGGGATGATACATATATCGTAGGAAGAATCAGTTCCTACTCAGTAGAGATACTTGAAGAGCTGAAAACAGGCCTGGCATAAAAAGGAGTTTGCCTGTAAAGTGGAAATTCCAGTGGGAGTGGAAGCAGGGAATAAGCAATTCTAGCTAGAACAGAGTAAAGTGGATGAGAGTGGGGATGGACTGACTGGAAATGTAGGGTGGGAGGGATGGGGTGGAAAGACAGCCAAAAAAACAAACATAAATATGTAAAAAAATATGTTAGGAGATAAGTGCTAAGCGAAAAAGAAAACAGAGCAGGTGAGAGGGCTCGGGCATAGGTTGCACTTTTAAAGACCAACTATTTGAGACAGCAGGTTGGTGTTTGTTAGGTTAGGGTTCAAACCATTTTAAATTCCTACCACTAATCTACCTTTGCTGCACAAACACACCCATATTCACATACACAAAACTTCCTCTAAATCAACAGAGACAAAAAAAGAAGAGAAAATCAGTAAGTGTCCAAACATATCTTGAAATGAATTCAAACCACAGTCAACTAAATCAAGTTGGTAGCTACAAGGTAGATTTGCTTTAGAAATCTAGCCTTACCCATTATGTAATGTGGACAGTTTAGTTCAGAGCAGCTAGGTGAACTTTAGCCTAGATCAACTGTGCCGGCAAAAGAGAGAAACCTTTGTCCTACTTCTTAATCATCTTGATAATTTAACTCAAGAAGATACTTACAAAACCCATAACTATAACAGTGGAGAAAGCTGGATTATGCTGACACAAATTTCAAACATGAAAATGTTACTTTGGTTGTAACAATCAACAATTTTTCTCAATATCCAACTTTGGGGGAAGAGATAGGATTAAGGAAGTGAGTCAAACTTAAGTATACATCACTTACTACAGTATTTGCCTCTAATTCATTTCCTGTGAAATTATTTTACCACTCACACATTAGAAATTTAGATTTAGGAGTGGTAATTAAACAAGATATCTTGGCCAAGTTGTGACTGTCATTTGAAAGTCATATATTCAGAATTATAGCATTTGTGGGGGAGGAATGGGTTTGAACTTCTGAGATAACAAATAAGTTTCAAGAAAATTTACCCATCCACTAGTAAATGTCATAATCTCATTAAACATTGGCCTTCACCCAGACTTTCAGGGTAAAAGACCAACATGTTGAATCTAAATGGCAATCCAGGTGTGCAAGTAATTTTGAATTCACTTTCTAAACATGTTTTCAAAATTCATAAACTGTTATTCAAAGGGACAATAACTATAAGCCATATTTTCTTATTGGTGAAAACAGTACAATATATATACATTTACATGTGTATATATATATTTCTATACAAAAAATATAGAAAAGCTAAGCTTGTTATTACACATATAAAATGTAAAAATTATTTTAAAAATTCTCAGATATATAGAATCAGTTCTTCAGGGCAGGAAAGAGTTAATAGCAGCATGTACTGAACATTTAGTCTATGACAAATTGCTTTAAACTTAGGATAACTCCTTTGAAGTTCACAAAGCTATTTCACAAATGAGAAAACAGAAGAAATTAATTGTCCAAGGTCACTAGAGAGTAAAAGGCGGAGCCAGATTCAAGCTCCAAAGTCAGACTTCAAATTTAATGCTTTGAATTGCTCTTTCATGCTATTTCTTGTATCTAAGAAAATCCAAAGTCTCATTCATTTTACAGATGAAGAAAATAAAGATCAGTTAGACTAAGGTATTTGTCCAAAGTTACACAGCTAGTGACCACAAACCACATGACCTGACTACCAGCTCAGTGTTAAACCAGCTGCTAATCCATAAGAAGTACCTTAAAACCAATGCATAGGAAAGTTCAAATATATACATTTGATTTTCATAAAGCCTTAAACCATAAATGTGGAAAACAGAAAACAAAACCATAAGGTAAACTGACCAACTGCTAATAGTTACTATATGTGACTAGTAAGCGAATGGGTGACTTTTTTCTTAACCCTTCCCCAGTCTTTACATTTCAATTTTTTGTAGTATTATGATTGGTATACACACACACACACACACACACACACACACACACACGTGGAAACCAAAGACATTGGTCAAGATTCAGAAGAAGTCTGAATCCAAAATTAATCCCTTAGAGCAGACTCCAGCTACCAGCTCTCTCTTTCAGGAGAAAGACATATTACAAATTAAAATTCTAATTAGCAGCCGGTATTAAGTGTAACATGCAATAAAACGTGACATTTCACAACAGATTTGAGACGGGAGGAAAATGCTTGATTTTCCATAATCACCCACTTAACAGCTAATGCAAACTTAACCGGGTACCGTCAGAAACAAAATTACTTTTTAAAAATTATTTAACATTTTATCCCTTAAGGTACAGGTATTTGCTTATCTTTTTTTCTATCACCCTGCCCCCAGTGTGTCCACAGACAAGCGGTATTTGTGTATTTAAAAAAAAAATATTTCTTCTAGCAAGTTGCAGAACCTCCCCTTGAAATTTAACATACGATACATTCACACTGGGATCACTGGAACTGCAAAAGTCGAGCTCCGTATTGAAATGTGGTAATAGGTACAAAAATGGTTCTGAGGGAAAGGAGCTGGGAGTAGCAGTAATTCGCAAGGCTGGTTAATTCCACCTAAGAAGCTTTTAAGACAGCTCTTGTTACGAGTAAGGTGCTGTGGAGCCACAAAGATGTGACAGACTGGAGTGTCCCAGTCCTTCTGAACTCCTGATCTAGTAGGGACAGGTCCGAAGCCATCAAAGAAGAAAATAAGAGGGGAGTGACGTCATAAGTGCGACGGGGAGACTTGCGGAAGGTGCCAGACCCGGTGAACAAGCCTCAGAAAGGTTAAGGGTTAAGGAGCCTGAAATCGCTGCAGGACTCAGGAGCAGTGAGAGAGGAAGTGTCAGTCTGCGCAAGGACACAGGAGACTGGGTCAAGGGGCGCACCCTTTCCCCCATTAAGGGCTGAGTTCTCCAGCGGGGCGGGGAGGCGACAGGGAAAGGGAGACGCGGCTTCGGGGCTACCTCAGGCTCCGCAAAAGTTCTGCCTGGGGCTGCGGGGCGCTCCCAGCCAGGCCTCACCTGGGCAGCGGAGCATCCTGGAGGCAGTGGCGCGACTGAGACTGCCTATCGCCCGGGAGGCCACCATCTTGAGCAGAAGAGGACGAAAATGCAAAGCGCTCCGATAGGGGCTGCCGAGCGGAGGACTTTTCGACCTCAGCCTTGCGCCAGCTAGGCGCCCGACGTACTGCCTGACTAAAATCCCCGGTGCCGAGTTGCCGCTGCCTCCTTGCCCTGCCGTTCGCTTCTAGATAACGGGGCCAACAGGTCGCTTTCTCCATTGGACGGAAGGAGGCCCATAGAGGAGGAGGCGAAGTGCCTGGTTTTCCAGACAGGCGGCCGGTGGGCAGCCTGCGGAGTTCGAGGGCGGGAGTGAAGGGGGTCCTTTGGGGCAGGACCCGCCCCTTGGTCACGTCTAGTCCCGGCACTTGAGTCCAAACCTTTCGTGTCCGCCGCGGGAGTTCGAGAGAACAGAGGTAAGGTGAGACCCATGGGGTATGCGCTTGGCTTTCCGTCTGGCCTTTCCCGGCAGCGACAGCCGCAGTTCCTTTCCGATCTCCTGCGCCAGTGCCCGCGACCACCTCTCTTCCCCCCGGGGAGTGGAGTTCAAGGGAGCGGGAAGAGGCCCCATCGGACAGCGTCTCCAGGACCAATGCACTTAGAGTAGTAACTTGGACAAGCCTTAGGTGTGTAGCTCTGAGCAGCGGTGTCACCGTGTCTTTTAATTTATCACCTCAAGTTAACGAACTGTTTGCTTGTGTGTGTGTCGGCATAAAGCGCTAGGCTATATTGCCCTGTGTGTTTTTTCACCCGTTTTGCTTGTATGGGAAGTTGGGATTACTCCATCCCTGCCACTGGGCTGGGGCCCGGTCACGTGACCCGTTCGGGCCTGGCGTGTGGGAGGAGTGGAGATACTTGGAGACTTAATGTTCCTGAGCATTTTCTAACCTGGAAGGGATCTGCCGATCATCTGGTCATTCATCACTTTCACTTTATAGGTGAAGCCCATGAATCAGCGTGAGTGGGCTTATCTGTGGGCCACAGGTGGTGGAAATAGGACTAGAGCCTACGTCTATTAACTTCTCGTCACGAGCTCTGCATTGCATAATAGCGGTTTTGTGTTGGAAAGATGAGTTCAAGTCCTTGAATAATGCGATTGATTCCAAACGAAATAACGTTAATTTGCAAAAAGGATTCTTGATCTCCAGAGGCCCTCCCAACTCATAAGATTTTTACAGTTAAAAGCTTGTCTTCTGCCCTCATGCTCTCTTATGCATGTAATTCTGTTTAGTGCTTACTATTTAGATAAGGGGTAGTAAATTTTTTTGTTAAGGGCCACATAGTAAAAACCCATATTGATCTCGTATATTTTTTGTTTTGTTTTCTACAACTCTTTAAAAGTGTAAAAACTCTTTTTTTAAAAAAATATTTATTTATTTGACAGAGAGAGACACAGTGAGAGAAGAAACACAAGCAGGGGGAGTGGAAGAGAGAGAAGCAGGCTCCCCGCAGAGCAGGGAGCCCCATGCGAGGCTCCATCCCAGGACTCTGGGATCAGGACCTGAGCCGAAGGCAGCCGCTTAACGACTGAGCCACCCAGGCGCCCCTAAAAGTGAAAAAAACTCTTGTTAGCTAAAGGCCATCCTCTTTGGCTCACTTTTTTGTTCCTTGTACTCTCAGTGAAATCATAAGCTCCATCAGGGCAGAAATGTTACGCTTCTTACTGTGGCTTACAGAGAGGGGAACTGGGTACATTTACTGCCCAGTAATATTGATAGAGCAAACATGTAGGACCCTTGCTATGTATCAGGCACTGTTCTAAGTGCTTTGTGTGTATTAATTTAGTTACTCCTCACAGCAACCCTATGAGGTAGGTACTGGGATTATCTACATTTTACAGATGAATTATCTACATCTTACTCTAAGACAAAAAGATTAAGTAACTTGCTTAAGGTCAGAAAACTAGGGTGGAGTCAGGATTTGGATTTAGACAGTCTGGTTTTAGACTCTGTGCCCTTTCATTATATTGTGTCTTAATGATAGTGTTAACAGTGAGCTGTTAAGCCACTCCATTTTGCTTTTTTTTTTTTTTTTTAAGATTTTATGAGAGAGAGAGAGAGAACGTGAACGTGGGGGCAGAGGGAGAGGGAGAAAGCAGTCTCCATGGGGAGCTCCTGGGATCATGACCTGAGCCTAAGGCAGACGCTTAACTGAGCCACCCAGGTGCCCCCCCCCGCCCCATTTTGCTTTCATTACTTGCCTAGCACCTTCTTCCTTTCCCTTACTCCCAGGTGCCTGCAACTTTATGCATCTTTTCATAGTTCCACAGCCAACTCCAGCTTGCTCTGCTCCAGTTTCCATGCTTCTCAAATCCTTTAGTCAAAAAGGTCTATTTCCTAAAGCTTAGAGCAAATGACAATAAAGGTCAACTCTTCCATAGGGTAGTTTGCTTAGTCTTTTGAAACGTATTTTTAATCAATTATTGAACTGATAATATTATTTTTCAGAAACTACAGAGAAAATAAATACACCTGTAGTTCCACCACCCAGAGATAACTACTATTAACATTTTGCTTAAAAAAAAACATAAACCAAAACATTTTGCTATGTATTTTTCTGGACATTTTTTATGCACTTGTATATTTTTATATATTTAAATATTAATATATGTAGATTTTAAATGAAACTAGAATTATACTGTACATGAAAAATAAAATGTTCGGGGCGCCTGGGTGGCTCAGCAGTTAAGCATCTGCCTTCGGCTCAGGTTATAATCCCGGGGTCCTGGGATTGAGCCCCGCGTTGGGCTCCTTGCTCAGTGGGAGGCTTGCTTGTGTTCCCTCTCTCGCTCTGTCTCTCTCTGTCAAATAAATAAAATCTACAAAATTTTTTTGAGAAGATAGAAGAATATAAAATGAAAGCTCCTCTTTATTCCTTCCGTATATAGACTCTTAGCTTTACGGACTTTGTTTTTCTTCTGTCATAAAAACAGTGTCTTACTGTACATATTGTTCTGCAGTTTGTTTTTTCATTTAATATATAGTGGACATCTTTCTATGTTAGTATATACATGTATATCATGTTTTTTATTTTTCTTTCCAAGCTGCTGCACAGTGTTCCATGGTATGTTTTTTTTTTTTAAAGATTTTTTTAAATTTATTTGAGAGAGAGAGCACATGAGAGGGGGGGAGGGTCAGAGGGAGAAGCAGACTCCCTGCTGAGCAGGGAGCCCGATGTGGGACTCTATCCCGGGACTCCAGGATCATAACCTGAGCCGAAGGCAGTCGCTTAACCAACTGAGCCACCCAGGCGCCCCCATGGTATGTTTGTACTATAATTTTTTTAACTATTTCCTACTGATGGGCATTTAGATTTGTTCCAGTGTCCAGTGTGCTACAATGAACATCTTGAATATTTCTATAGGCCAGAGATCTATGTATGCTACACATACATCTTGAGTATTTCTATAGGTTAAAGAACAATTATAGGAATTATTGGGCTCAGAAATTCACAATTTAAATTTTGTTAGATAATTAAAAATTGCCTTCCAAAACCTTAGCAGTTTATGCTTTTATCAACTGTATATGGAAGTGCCTAAATCCATTCTTACTAGAATTATGTGTTAACAATGTTAATTTTTTGCCAATTTTACAACCCCACGATGATCCCTTGTTGTAATTGAAAAAAAATTTTTTTTTCTTTTATAAAGATTTTATTTATTTATTTGACAGAGAGATAGAGAGCACAAGTAGGCAGAGGGAGAGGGAGAAGCAGGCTCTCCACTGAGCAGGGAGCCAGACGTGGGGCTCGATCCCAGGACCCCAGGATCATGACCTGAGCCAAAGGCAGCCGCTTAACCGACTGAGCCACCCAGGCGCCCCGAAAAAATGTTTTTATTGTTAGGTTGAACATTTAAAATTTTGTTTGACATTTTTATTTCTGTGAATTGCTCTTTTGTTTTTTTTCCTTTAGTCATGTATCAGTAAGGAACCTTTCAGCTGCAAATAACAAAATTCAACTCAAATTGTCTTATTCAAGGGGTTTATTGTCTAACAACTGGAAAGCACAAAGGGAGGATGGGTTTCGGATATGATTCAGTTAAGGCTCTAGTTTCCTTTTCCGGAAATTCTCGGCTCTGTCCTCTTTTGGGATCGATCAGCTCTGTGCTTAGACTAGCTTTTTTCATGTTTGCAAACTGTGGTAGCTGTGCCAAGCCTCAGAAGGAAAGATTTATGTTCCAGAATTCCAGGCAGAATACTGACTGGAATGTAAGACTGACTAAATTATTATCCCTAAATCAAGTCAGTACCATGCACCATTGTTTTAGGCCTTGGTTACCTGAACCAATGATCTAGGCAAAGAGAATGAAATTATTCTGATTGGTTTAAACCCTGGAGTTGGGCTGGATTCAACCCCCTGTAAACTACATATGGCAATTGCATAATGGAGTCAAATGGATATTTGGGTGAAAACCACAGATTCCATTATAGATTCTCTTTTGTCTATAATTTGTAATAGTTCTTTATGGGTTATGGATATTAACCCTTTGTCTGTTTTATGCATTACAAATATTTTCTCTGAATCTATATATATATGAAATTGGATTAATCACATCTGGAATTGATTTGTACCTGTATGAGTTATGGACCTAAAGTTTTTTCCGGATGATTAGCCATTTCCCCAACAAATTCAGTGAAAAATTCATCTTTTTCCCCGCTTATTTGAAATGTTATCTTTTTTTTGAGACAGAGGGAGAGAAGATAAGCAGAGTATGCTGTAGGCAGAGGGAGAAGCAGACTCCCTGCCGAGCAGGGAGCCCGATGCGGGACTCAATCCGGGGACTCCAGGATCATGACCTGAGCCGAAGGCAGTCGCTTAACCAACTGAGCCACCCAGGCGCCCAAGATTTATTTATTTTAGAGAGAGGGACAGTGGAAGGGGCAGAGAGAGAGTCCTAAGCAGACTCCACCCTGAGCGTGGAGCCCATTGGGCTCTGTCTCAGGACCCTGAGATCATGACTGGAGCCGAAACCAAGAGTCAGACGCTTAACAGACTATGCCACCCAAGCTCCCTTACTTAAGGGAATTTGTATCTAAGACTGGTGTGGCATGTGTAGCTTCTGCAAACAGGGGTGCTTATCTCATGGGCCTGTTTGTGTCTCCCTGGCTAGAGTCTTTTGAATATCCCTAGGCCGGTGAGC